TTGCTGTTGGAAGGCAAGACTGACAGCTGTGAACCCAGCTAATGCAATTACCAGCCAGTAGGGGAAAATGTAAACCAAGATCTTATATTAATGAAAGAACAGAATGAAAGCCTTACACTGATTGACCATCTCAAACAGGGCATGGAATCCAGTTCCGTATTGGAATGAATCATCTGAAGACTGGAACTGAACCCAAAGATGGCGACCGCTGGAAAACACCGAACTCTCAAAGTCCTGTCCACAGAATGTTTTTATCAAGTCGCTTGATGAACTCTGGCCATCACGAATTTCAAGATTAGTTCCTTCTTTGCAAATATACGCGAAGAAAAGAGACGTTATTCTTAACTTGACGAAGTTTCCTTCCGGTACTGTTATAATCCAGGTACATTTCATGTTGCGGGGAAATGTCTGTGGATACAGTGGTGAAAAAAGCCTTCCTGTCTCTCCACTTAAAGGAATGACGTTGTCTATTCCTTGCGTCTTACACGGCCCCATGGTCGCTGAAATGAAAAACAAAAACACCTTTACTTGATGCATACAAAACGTCTACGTATCATACTGAAAATTCCTAATTTCTAATTTTATTTCTATGCAAATCAGACAAATCACGTGATTCATGCATATAAATTGGAAACCTCGCTAGCAATAGGCGAATCGTTGCTGACGTCATTGTTTACATTTTTCCTCATTAACATAGGACTTATAGAAGTATAGAAGGCATCATGCTAGACACGATTTTATTTGAAAAACTTAAAGAGCTTGTGAAACTTAATAAGTGGTGAAATATTTGGCTCTTTGGGTGTAATATTCGAGGAGAAATTGGCTTTCAAAAACATCAAAATTTCTGTGTGGCAAAAGCGCTGTTGAGCTCATACCAGGGGCTTACATTCTTTGTAAAATTTTAAGCTTTTAAACCCTCGTCGCACAAAAAGTATTCAATACATCGCGCTCAAATTCCTTGGGACAGTTAATCGTGCTGTGCCTTTTCAATATTCAGTATTAATCTCTTTGTAGCTCCATCAGAAACTGTATCGTTTATGGTAATGAGGCAAATATTGTAAACAAAGATTCTCCTATAAGTGCTGACTTACGGTCTTCAACTGCTGTATAGCTTGCATGGAATCCTGGGTATCTTCCAGAACTGTCAGCCACGAAATCCACGTTCATTTTTGTGTGGTTTGACTGAATTGCTGTGGGAAGCGAAGAACCACAGAATCTGCGCGAGTCTGTCAACATGCCACCCGTCTGCCAGGAATATTTTTCTTGCTTAATCCGAACATAGTCCTCTTGACAATCTTGAGATTGTTGTAAATCAAACGAGTGAAACGTGAAATTGATGTTGTAACCAACAGGGACCTCAATTGTCCAGGAACAGCTAACGTCATTGGAGTAAGGCAGGGGATATTGATAGCTTGCGAGTTCACCACTAGTGTTACGTAGTGTAATTCTATCATAGTCGCCTGAGGAAGATTTAGAACAAGCGTATGGAGCAGGAACCGCCTTAAGAGTTTCGTATGTGGCGATAAAGCCGCTGACAGAGCTCTCGGATGCAATAACATAAGTAACTAACAAACTGCTTCCTCTTGAGTAAACCACTTCCGCTTTGAATAGATAACAGAACTTCCTCAGATATATCCACGTGGAATTCGTTACGTCATAAACCTCCACATAACTGCTGTTACATGATCCGTACACGTACCAGAAGGTAAGCCTTATGAAGTTCCCGGGGGGTACAGAGATATTCCAATGACATGATCCGTCTCCAGGATGGAGAGGAAAGTTCGGACTTGCGAAGCTCATTCCTTCACCAGTCATGTGCACAGTGCTGTTTTCACTTGGCTTGCAAGTTCCCGATGAATCTAAAACGTTCAAATCAAAAATTGGATTAGTGTCTCGGTGATAAGCACAAAGGTACGAAATATACCCACTAGAATTATTCGTTATTTTCCTTTCTTTTTACCACAACCGACTCGTTTAACCCCAAGAAAACGGAAACATAAAGAATGCGTAACTCTACAGCTGTATGCTAAGTTTCCCTGCTTCAAAGTAAAGGCGACGCAAAAGTTGATCAGGTACGTATTTACATTATGTAACGTTTATTCTACTATTCTGTTACTTTGTCATTTACATCACTTCAGTTTGTTGGTTCATATGTTAAATAAGGGCGTATCCCCCTAGAAGAAGTGTTGTGCAGAAAATTCAGATAGAGGGAGCCGAAGAAATTGCGGCAGAGCGCAGGCAACACCCCTCTCAAACCGAATCAAAAATTCGCTCTGAAGACGGTTGGTCTATTTTTTTTTTTTCGGCAATACAAGAAAAAAAGGAGGGGGGACGCCCCCTTCAGCCCTTCAGCCCTTCATAAATCCACCCCTGTTATGTGAAATAACGGCAAGCAAATTGTTCGTTTATATTACCTGCGGTCACCGTTGTGTAGTTCGCAATGAAACCTGGACCAGTGCTGTAGAGTTCTCGGACCCGGATACCGAGTTCATTTGTCATTGAGTAAACAACAAACGATGGTTTCTGTCCACAATGAGATGTTAAGATCGAGTTTTTCTTATTTATTGTCTGCACAACATCAATACAAGCTCCTACTGCAAGTCGAAAGGACGAAAAATCCACTCGAACCACTTTTCCTTTGGCTGTGAATATCTTCCAGTAGCACTGCGTGACAGGGTAACTGGATGGATACCCAGGGGTTTTGAGGACACCGGAGGGATCTTTTATCACGATGTTTTGGTTTTCGTCCAATGAGTTCCCAGATGAACACGAGAGGGCTGGAAAGAAAGAATTAACAAGAATCAATCCGAAAGTGGGCTATTTACCCTGTTGCCATCTACTGTTAATAATAGTTCCAATTAAAGCATTCGGTAAATTTTTGCAAAACCGCCAGTTTAGAAAAGTTTACATTGAAGAGCAGCACCACATGACTGCTCGATAGCTTTCATGTTAAATACTAAGGTTTCATGAGGGTTTCATCCACAGACGTAAATTCTCGACCAGTTTGTGCAACATTAATTAAGGCTTGGCGAAAAGTTTTAAACATTTCAACGCCATATATTGCAACATTGTTGGATCTTGTTAGGGATTATAAAGAAAACGAACACAACAAATTGATTGGGCGTTTAAATGTTGCGTGCGTTTAACCGGGCCGTTACTCCCTTGTTTATTCCAGGCCATACTCATTTTCAGTTGGTCACAAGACCGTATAGACCCGAGAAAGCAATAAATGTCGCTAAAAACGAAGAAGTACAGCGTCACCTTAGAACTACAGTAACACAGGAGGATTTTCGACCTACACCCAAAATTAAAACTCTAGATCTCTTCCCTTCCTTTATTATCACCTCTCCCGTCACGCAATAAGAGGGGGTGAAAATCAAACCCCTAGGAGTTGTGCACAAGCTACTCAGTTTTACCTGGAGTGATGGCTGTGTACGAATCGACATGCAAATCACTGCACAAGTATAAACTTTCCCTTTTACCTTCAAAGTCCATCGCTTTGTAAGACACTCTAAAACCGCTGGTAAAATTGTTTATGCCTTTCTTCGTCTCGATCCATAAACTACGACCACTGGACAAGAGCTGATATTCTATCAAATCATCTCTGGAGCTATTAAGACAGTATTCTACAAGTATGTCACTTGATTCTGCAGGCCCATCGTGGATCCTGAGGTACTCCTGATCACAGGGCATTCTGAAGTTGAAGACAATGATGTCAATGGTGAGCACCTGTCCTTCAGGGGCTGTGATGTTCCAAACGCAAGAGGAATTAAATGGAAGCAAGTAGGTGTCATTTTGAAGAACGCGCTCGTCCTCCCCAGCTGTTACAGTGGCAGTCGAATGCTGATTAGCACTACAGCCTGAAAATATAAACGTACACCAATGATATTCTTGCGATGGTATTTACCAGAAAAAAGGACCACCCTGCGCTCCTAACCCAGTCGCTTTTTTGGGTTCGTCACGGAAATATTGCATGACAAGTCCAAAGAAGTTATATCACCCATGCGTAGCATGACACATGTCGAAGTCGCTTTCATAGGATACCCGCACCAGTCTTCCCTCTATTCCCTATTGTAACTCAGTTCTTCATTGACTTTTGTATTAGTAAAGTAAATTCTCCCTGAAAATGAAAACCTGTACTCTCATGCAAAAACTTAACCTAGGGATTCTTACATGTAATAAAAACTTAAAAGTGAGCTTGTTTTCCCCCAGCTCCCTTCCCCCCACCACCACAAACTCTTTGTGGGGGATCGTGCAGGGCCCTGGTTTCGCAAAAATTTCGACACTGCTTCATGGCATTGTCTTTTTCCACATTGTTATTTGTCTTCGGGATCGCTACTCTAAAGCGTATAAAACAACATACGTCAAACAAGAACATTATATTGCATGGCACTGATTGGGTCAATATGCTGGAAGATATCAAGCTTGCACAACTGCGGGAGGTCCAGTGGGTGTGGACATTTTCATAAACTTGACTCCATGACAAACCACCTGTTCTTTGCAGGTTTTTATGTTATTTTCGTTTTGCAGGTTTTTATCCTCGTTGAGGACGTGGCTTTTAGACAGTTTGTTGGCTGAAGTTTAGTTGGGCGAGGGTCGGACCGATAATATGCATTCCCGTGTGACGTAAAGAAGGGCATGATTTGTGTTGGATATGCTTGAGTAAATTCTGCCCGCAAAATAGCTCAAATTCACTTGTTCCGCCGCTTTTTCCGCTCGGCTAAAACAATTCTACTCGTGCTCTGCTCGGTGCAATAGTAATTTGTTCACTTTTAATACTTAATTCAAAGTCTTTAAAAGTAATTATAACGTTTCCCCTATCGGCAGAATTTATCCACTATAAATATCTATAATATTTTTTTTAATTTCAGAGACGCAGTTGCTGTTGAGTTGCCAGACGGACCACTATAAGTGGGGTGTGAACCCTAAACCTCTTGTATGTCTTGTTTTACGTCTTGAGCTTACACATTCGGTTAATTTTTGTTAAAAAATTAAAAATAATTAATAATTAGTTGCAGTTACATTGACAGCGCCGATCTTCCACACAAGACATGAGAGTTTTGGCGTAATTTTCTCTTCTTTCTGTTATTGGCATAATCAGCATACAAGCCTTATTTATATAATAATAGTATTATGAAATACTACCTTCTGTAGCCAGTGACTTCAGCAACAGTATTAAACCTAAAAACCAAAAAAAAGGGTTGTATTTACACATATTGCATTATTTTACTGACAGAGTATAATATTAATGCCTTGATTTGTTAGGAATATCACTCCTTTACTATCCACCTACTTATTGCGAGTGTGAAATCAACACGTTTCGATCGCCAGCGATAATATGGCAACAGTGATAAAAATGTGATATTTTCCAGGGATATTTCTCTTCTCTACTTCCAGCGTATATGGGATTATCTTTCTTGTCAAATAAAACTGATATTTCAAAGGGATTTTAATTAATATGCGTAATTCTTTCCATTTTGCGCTTGCACAACCATAAACACNCCCTATCGGCAGAATTTATCCACTATAAATATCTATAATATATCTTTTTTAATTTCAGAGACTCAGTTGCTGTTGAGTTGCCAGATGGACCACTATAAGTGGGGTGTGAACCCTAAACCTCTTGTATGTCTTGTTTTATGTCTTGAGCTTACACATTCGGGTAATTTTTGTTAAAAAATTAAAAATAATTAATAATTAGTTTCAGTTACATTGCCAGCGCCGATCTTCCACTCAAGACATGAGATTTTTGGCGTAATTTTCTCTTCTTTCTGTTATTGGTATAATCAGCATACAAGCCTTATTTATATAATAATAGTATTATGAAATACTACCTTCTGTAGCCAGTGACTTCAGCAACAGTATTAAACCTAAAAACACAAAAAAAGGGTTGTATTTACACATATTGCATTATTTTACTGACAGAGTATAATATTAATACCTTGATTTGTTCGGAATATCCCTCCTTTACTATCCACCTACTTATTGCGAGTTTGAAATCAACATGTTTCGATCGCCAGCGATAATATGGCAAAAGTGATAAAAATGTGATATTTTCCAGGGATATTTTTCTTCTCTACTTCCAGCGTATATGGGATTATCTTTCTTGTCAAATAAAACTGATATTTCAAAGGGATTTTAATTAATATGCGTAATTCTTTCCATTTTGCGCTTGCACAACCATAAACACGTATTATCCGTACTCTCATCAAAATGGCGTCAAGAAAAGAGAGGACCATGTTTATATTGAAGTAAACAAATGAACATTTCATCTCGCTCACACATATCACGTCAATGAAATCGACTTGTTTCAGTTACAAATATTAAATTACATCAGGTTGATGATTAGCCACGTCGATACCGTCGTCAATGCATTTCGCCTTGTAATCAAACAAGAGGAGGTTGATTACACGATTCTCCATAAAATGATTCTCCTGGCTGTAAACAACACCTGAATGACTTGCATTTACGGCACGGAACGCGCAGCGAGCGAAACGATTTTTGCGCAGCGAAAATCCGTTCGATAAACTCCGGAAAGGTGTCCGGGATTAAACCGATGYTGCTCCATTGCGTGYTAGTAATTTAGTGTTGTAAATCGAAGGAGCTTTYCGCRAGTATTCATCTTGGATGCTGATATGCATTTCGTGCAAGACTTACCGAGGAATAGTAGCATTCTGTACTGCAGCCTAAACACCGCGACCTGAGCCGACGTCGACTCGTTCCCTCTCTTTCTGGTTCCAAACTAATTTTAGATCTGAACTCATGACATTTTGTAGTGAGATGAGAGTCACGCGATTTTGCTTGCCTTGTAAGGTAGTCACGTGATCCAGTAGGTCACAACGGAGTCAGCCAGGCGCATGAGCCCGCGGTTGAATCGGATTGCAGGTAAAAATGTAACGGATGGATTTTTGATGGATTCATTATCATGAATGTGCTAGTACAGTTCCCTGTCAACGTCCTCTATAACAGATCTGGTGATGCACTGAAAATCTCATCAACAGGGCAGGCAAAATTTCTCGACTGTATATCTCATTTGATTTTTCTACGGGCACGCGACGTACGGCGCCCACACGGCACCAGAGAAGAATAAAACTCACAATGGAATTGTTTTGAATCTACCCGTGGATCAGGGAGGGAGGGGGGGTCTCAAATGGACCCAAGTGAACAAGCAATTATAGCGCCACGTATAGCGAGTGGTGCAATAAAGAACTTAATGACAAACTTTTTGGAGGATTTCCTTGGTTTAATTTCTCCCGGTGTCTCGCATTTTTTTTTTTTACCGGAGATCTAATATGTACGTATTTCCCTGGGGTTACTGTGTGTATCCTCTTTACCCTAGTGTATTTAATTCCAACCTGAGTGCAGTACGCATTTTCCCGGATATATCTTGTGTTTACCCCATGCAGAGCCAGGAGTGCGGGAAACCAGAGATTCAGATATGAAGTGATTTTTTTAGAAGTACTGAAACAAGGAACCAGTTTCCTTTTATTAGTCAGTTAGCTTTAATAAAGAAATGGACAGCACACAAGGCAAGGAGAATATATTTTTTATCACGGTCGGTTTCAAACCGACCCACTGACAGGTGCCTGAAAGACAATTTTCTTATAACCTTTCTGTTTTCTTTTCGGAGTCTGCTGGGTAAGTCAAAAGTATCAGGGGCATTTTAGAAGTCATCTTGCCTGACGTTAAGATGTAGATGTTCCATAGAGTATTGTATGATTTCTCGTTGGAGTTTTCACTCTCTCCTCAGTTTAGAGGCTCTTAATCATATGAGGAAAGGCGTCTAATGATATTTAGTGCGAAACCGATTTGTTCTCGTTTCACTGCAAAGTGATTAAAAAAACAAGAAGAGGCTTTGTACTCTCTCTTTCAATCGTGCAGTGCGTACTTTTGGTTCCCAATCTTCTTACGTGGGAGTAGTACGTGGGCGATAATGAATTAAATACAGTGGTACTAAAGTATTTAAGTTCAGTTGACGTTTGAAACGGAAAAATAGCACGGCAGAATTTTTTGGCAACGGAACAACTTCCGTTTTAACGAAAGAAGTAAACTTATCTAACGTTTTGTTCAGGCGAGACCAATCATACGTCAGTCATTTGAAATGTCCGATAACTTAGATAAGGCATTACATATCCCATTTGGTGTAGATAAAAATTACGAGGTTGGCTTTTTTTCGTTCACTTTCTAAGTATGCAAATCAAATAATGTTTGGGCGTAATCAAGCATTTCTTTAAACCCAAATGTAAAATAAAATGGCTGAGCCAAAGTGATCAATTTGTCAATGATGAATTACACAGGAACATGTCATTCACTCGACAGATCAGGGCGGAATGTGGAAGTTTAGAGATAAGGAGGGCGAATTAAAAAAAAAAAAAATCAGTTCTTTTGATTTTTCCACTGGAACCAGTATAAATCAATTACAAGATACGTAAAGAAATTACGAATAAATATATTAATCGAAGCCTATCATGCAAAAACGCTCGGATTTTTTTCATTAACATAAATAAATCATCTTAATTTCACTCTGAGGTCGACGCTAAATTAATAGAAACCTAGCATAATGTCACTGTGGTAAATAAAGCATATAATGGAGTGACGCCCTGGGTGTATAGTTTTTCAATACCTCAGAGCAATCCAGTGTATTTATATTATTAGGGATTCTCTCAGTTTAGTACAAGACTTAAAAAATAATTTTTTTTAGCCAAATCTTTGAATTGAATGACGACACGACTCGGGGATGGTGAGCAAAAAGCCACCTTGGATCTATTATGAAAGCCGATAAGCATATTTCCCTATCTTATAGGTCTTTAACTGATGTAAATAGATGAAGCTTCAAATTAGTCATCGTAAATGGTTGCCTTATCTTAGTTATCGAGTGTTGTAATTGGGTCTTAACATAGAGCGTCCTTTCACATGGGTATAGCGTCCGCTTGACGATCAGAAAAGTGTTTTATCTTTTAAAATGCTCATTCAAATTGAAAGTTCTCGTATTTAGCACCTTATTACGGCCATTGAGCGACTGTGTTGATTTTTGTTGTCAACGTAATTAAGCAAGGCGAGGCAAAATAACTGATTGTTTAGTCTACGCTAGGAATCGAAAATCCATTAATTCTTGGTTGAGTGCCATGAATATACCGTAAATGCGACTGTATGAAAACAAATTGGAATAATCTATAATGGAACAGTTCAATCAAGGCATTCAAGCGATCAAAAAGCACTATCTTTGCTGGAAAACAGCGCAAATTATGGTAGAACTTTACCCATGAGTGGTTGACTGTCTCCACAGAGAGCAGCTGGGATCTCGACCGAAATCACGAAAAAGGACTTTTCAACCGTTGTCGTTATTATTTCATAACGACTGTGCGCGAGTACAAAATGAATTCGAGTGTAAAATTTTGCGTTGATTCGACTTTGTCAACAGAACTGGCTCGTTTCAAACTTTCTCCGAGTGTTTACCACATCCTAATGGGCGTATGTATTGCCAATGGTCTTTTATCGCCCTTGGCAGTATTAGGGAACGGGCTTGTACTCGTGGTAATCTTGAAGTTCTCGAGCCTGTACACCAACTCAAACATTCTGATATTCTCGTTAGCTACGACTGATATTCTCGTCGGGTTAGTGGTACAGCCGTCATTCTTGGCCTACATTGCCAGCAAGATCAAACTGAATTTCTCCTGCGAGGCACTCATGTCTTACTTATTTACCGAGATTTTCTGCCTTGGTCTCTCCATCTTCATGCTCTGCCTTGTGTGCTGTGACCGATACTTTGCAATCATGTTTCCTTACAAGTATCTCACCTACGCCACGAAGACCAGAGTGATTAAAATAGTTGCAATTTGTTGGGGTACGTGGTTTGCGTTTAACGTTATCTGCAGAGCACTGAGGGTGAAAAACGATGAGTTCTTCTCACCCGTCGCCTCTGTTGTTATCTCTGCAAGTTTCATTCTGAACATCATTTTGAATTTCAAAATCTTCAGAGTTGTCAGGCTTCACAAAAGGCAAATTCTCTCCCATAAACAAGCCACGCTTCCCCGCGGGAAACTCGAGAGATCTGGACAAGACAAGGATGTCCCGAGGGCGCGTTTACCCGATACCCGCCTAGCTATCACAGTGCTGTTAATCTCTGGAGTGTTGATACTTTGTTACTTGCCTCTTATGCTGACCTCTGTCGCAGACATGATTGTAGATGAAGACGACTTGTTCGATCACGTGATTTATCCATTAGCCGAGACTGTGGCATTCTTAAATTCTTCGCTAAATCCGTTTCTTTATTGCCTGCGGTTCAGGGAATTAAGACGCAAAGTTGGTCAGGTTTTAAGGATGACGAGCGGTTCAAAGAACAATCTGCGTCATGTTGATGGCTCACACTGAGGCATCAAATCTGCGTTTTAAACTCTACTTTTCGTTACAATAACTTCACAGTCGATCAGTTATAACAGACCAGAGGCCCCAGTTCCAGAGGTAAATCGTTATCCGGTGGAAAAGCGAATTTTTTTTTTTCAAAAAAAAAAAAAAAACGCTTTCTACCGGATAGTGATTTCTTCTGGGGGTAGCGTTAGTATCATGAACAACTGTGGACAAAGTTTTACCACCAGTTCCATATGCAATGGCTGGTTCGAAACAGAAGCCTAGGCTCGCTTGCAAGTGTATAGAAATAAAATTAAAATAACTGAAGGGCCCATTAACCGATCTTTTCGAGCCGTTGCTAAGGAAAATTTATTCTCATATAACATCATTTTAGTTAGTTAGAGTTATTTCCTGTTTTTCATGATCAGTAGTACAAGTGATGACGTCATCAGGCCACGCTCTTGGTCATGTGACTAACACTGAAAATATACAAAGGTTCCCAGGCAAATTACTTTATCGGGATTTTATTCATTGATTTAATATTTTAATTTAAATCCTCGTTACGCTATGCATAGATTTTGTTTCATTTCTAAAAGGTCAGATTTTGA